GGTAGTAAGGAACAAACAACTCAAAAACCATCAATTACTTTACACGTCAATGGTAATGATTTTCATCGTATTGGATTACGATAAGTTTTCACATTGTGCTCTTTCTCGTGACATTTGCTGCATCTATTCTTTGATCTATGCTCCCAACCCGACTTGAATCGTTGTTTGCGTGGTCTACCTGGCCTCACTCTTGCATCTGGAGGATTCACCAATCTTTCGACAGACGGTTCATTAAATATGAAGGCTTGATTACCTTCTATTGGTATCACAGCATCTTCATAAGTTGCCAGCAAAGAGGAGTTTAAGTAATACGCAGAACAGAATGGGACTGGATCCAGGTGGAGTGACTTGATCACACGTATAGCGTGCGGGCAAGGCAGTTCGTCAACTTGAAAGTGGTGGCATGTGCAAGTCTTCTCTTCAATGTCTACTATAAATGCCTTACCATCAGCCATCACTTTATACACTTTGTCACTGGCTTTCTGTACCTGTTAAACAATTTAGTATATAAAGAGTATATTACAGTATTTTTTAGGTATATTATAACTATTTACTAGTAGCTATATAGTGTATAATAGGAATACAATTAAAAATTATAAATAATAACACTCACTGAGTGTCTTGCTGCCATTTGGTAATTCATTTCCAACCACCTATGTGGCTTCTTTGCAAGAGGAGTAAAAGTGGCCTTTGCCTCATCTTTGTTTGCCACATTCCACCGTTGTTGCATATCTCTAAGCGCCTCCAGTAGTGGAGTTATCGGCAGATCACGGACGGCTCGTATGGCAGCATTTACTGACTCAGCAGCGTTAGATGTCATGGTAAAATATCTATTATTTGGACAATGAACTCTTGCCCACTTGTGAAATCCAATTTCTTCTAGATATGGTACCACATTTGGATTCAGCTTATTAATCTGTGCAATATGCTTATTGAATTCCTCTTTCGTATAGGCCCTTGCTGCTGCATAAAACTCCTCCTTTACTGCCTGAGATTCCGTCTTATAACGCATCTTCAATTTGTTTGAGATGTGATAGGTGCACAGACAATGCGCCGCATTAGGGAATACCTAAATAAATTAGATATAACCAAGCAAATTACTGAAATATTATATATCATGAAAAATAATGCCAAACAGTTACCCAAAGTTTAATAATAGCTGGGAACATTTTATATTTCAAAAAATAAATAAATAAAAGAAACAACTGGAGAAGTAATTATATTTTGCAGAATAACTACTTAATTGTTACTAGAAATATACCCTTTCAATACTTAATTTTTGCTAGAAATATAATTGTTTCTAAAAAAATATAATACTTAACTGTGCATTGCCAATATATTATAAATCACGGAAAATAATGCCCACTTGTTACCAAAACTATACTAAACGCTGGGAACATTTTATATTTCAAGAAAAAAAGAATCAATTGGAGAAGAAAGTATATTCCGCAGAATAAATACTAAATTGTTACTAGAAATATAATAGTACCTTTTCTACTGCGTGCCGTATGCTTTCGTGACCATCCGAAACAATGCAAAGACTGTCCCTATCACCAACTACTTCATGCAATTTTGTGAAAAACCAGAGGTAGGACTTGTTATTTTCGGAGTCAACAACACTAAATGCAAGCGATAATATATGAGAATTTGCATCTTGACAAGAGGCTGTCAATAAAATTCCTCCATATACCGACGTCAAAAATGTCCCATCGACAATAACAATTGGCCGACAATGTACCCACCCTTTGACAGATGCACCGAGTGACATGAAAACATACATGAAATTCTTATCCCATGTGGTGCGCATCATCACATTGCTACCCGGGTTTGATGCACGTACCTTACTAAGATATTGATGAGCATAATTGTATGACTCATCAACCTTGCCACGAACTTCATCAACAGCTTTCCGTTTCGACCTCCATGCTTTGTGATATGTCAAGTTTATCCCAAACCGATTTTGCATGTCGTCAATGATATCACCCGGATTATATGCAGTTTTATTGTTTGTGAATTTTGTCTTGATGAAACTACTAACTAGTGTTGATGTCGCCTGTCTCTGATTACTAGTACGGACATCCAAACCACATATATGTCCAGTCCCCACGTCTCTTATCTTAAAAGTGTTTGACCGACCCATACGGGAAGCTTTCACAAACCATGTACACTCGCTCGAGACACACCTGACAAAATATTAAAAGTGTTACATATATCAAAATATAAGTCAAATATTACAGAATATAGTTTAAATATACCAGGATACTAATCATTCGATACACACCTGACATAATATTGTTTTGAGCATGACTTGTCAACCTTGAATTGATACTGATGCTTTAGTGCATGCATGGTCAACATTGTTTGTAACGTTTCCTTGTCCTTTAGTAAGAGACCAGCAACAATACCAGAGTCAAAATTTTCCTCATCATTCAATCGCATTTCAGAACCTGGGTATATGTCAAGTATATTTTCGGTAGATGCTGCCACTTCTACCATATCTGCAGCCACGTTCCTCGCAAACGACATGAAATTTATCGTGCGATCTGATCTATCATGTTGCCTGTCAAGCTCCGGAAAACACAGTGGAGCAATATTTGATTCGCCATTCACACAACCTATATTCACTTCTTCATCAAACGAATTTTCAACGGTACTCCGAGATTTCACCACAACGCACACCGGATATTTTGCATAGTCATCTTCCTTGGACACCAAATATACATAGAAGCTAAGGCTCCTATCGCTGTTTATCGAAATTAGTGGACTACCTTCTTTCAGCTTATATTTTAGATCAAGCACAGATGATTGACGTAATTCGTTGAAGCTGCCTTCTTTCCGAACCAAAATACCAGATAGTTGGTAGTTTACGTAGTCATTCATCACCCATTCACCCCCATGGTGTATGAAAATCATCATATTCGGATCCATCTGGCGAAAAAAAAAAAAAAGAATTCAGTAGCAAAATGATCAAAAAAACGCCAGGTTGTTTTTTCCTGGGCACAGGTTATAACACAAAAAAAAGAAACCCAAAATATACCTCCCTAACTTTTGGCCTGTATGTATTTGTTCTTGATAGGTGTTCGGTTGTTGAGTGATCGCCACAGGATTTTATCCACACCACTCTTTTTTTTAACCTCTTAATGCTTATCTTTGTTCGGAGACAATAAATGAAAAAACGCAAGCTTTTTTATTTTTTTTCCAAAGGATGAAGAACGTCGGTCGGGTGTCTCCGGAAAAATTCTTCTCGCCGGCGTGTTCTCTTTCTTTTTGTACCGTCCGTATCTCAATTCAAATTCAAATGAGATATTATTCCATCTTGATACCCTAAAATTATGCCCTACAAACAAGGGAAGCTGGTACAACTCGTGTAACAGTTATTTAGGTAGGTTTATAATTATATTTTATATTTTAGGCATAAACATAATTAAATTAGCTTTAGTGGTAAGGCAGCAATTAATTCAAAAACGGATAGCATAGGTGAAAATTTCCCTTTTCCTTTTCCCGTAGGGCTCCCAAGCTCAAAGGGCTTGATTTCTTTTGGGCCCACATAATTGCTTTTCAAGCCAAATTCAAATACCCAACATTGGTCCTATTTATCGACATCTCTTAATATTCTTCAAAATCTGAAAATAAATCATAAAATAATCAAAGAAAATGAATTCACTCAAATAATAAATAAGTCAAAAAACATAAACGCGCAAATAAATTAAGTGTATAAAAATATACTATTAAACATACGAAACGCGCACATTTTTTGTCCTATCAGAAGACAAAAAAATAAGCCGAGAACTACGTTTAAAACAAAGGGAGTAATAATCACCAGTTCTCCATACACGTAACACCAAAACAAAGTACATGCAAATGCAAATGGAAAGCTACAGGCAAACACAAAGAACGTATATGAAAACTGCAAAAATCCAGCATCTTCCATTTTAGTGGTCGACAAAGCTATGGTGAACTAAACCTTGGTATGCCATTAACCAGTAATCAACACAATAGGTTTCACCAATTATCCACGATTCTTTTCTTGGCCTAGGTAAAAATAAGCCTCTAAATAAATTAACGCAAGCAAATATATGTGAACCATACCTCCCGAATTAGTGAGATCCCACCATCAGCTGGAACAATGGCAACTTTCTGTAAATGAAAATCATAGTTAAATCAAGCTTCTCCAATCTTGAAAAATTGGGATAAGATTACAAGAAATTCAGACGAAAGTAACCTGAGGCTTCCATCCCATCTCATCCAGGCAATGGAAAGTAGCTTCACTAAAAGCTTGGTTCTGTAAAGCGAATGTTGTTGCTCCACTATTTACCCCTAAATGAACCTGCACACAAAGCATCAACAGAAAATGAAAATGTTAAAACATGAAAATGCATCTAAATAAAGTGAGAGGGTAAAGCTTTGAGGTTCAAAAGTGAAAAAAATTTGTAATCATGAAAGTCTGAAATTGATGGTGGTATCTATAGAATTTATATGCAGATAATGCTCTGAACTTGTTAAGTGCCAACAAAAAATGGGATTCCCTTGAACAAAGTTTACAAGACCCAGGTACGAAAGATAAAGTTGCCCATCAATGTGTGGAAAATTCAGTTATACAATGAAGAATGCGATGAAGAAAGTTAAAGATATAGGATATAGAACAGTTGAAATTGAAAGTGAATGTGTTTTTTCTTCACCACTCAACAAATCCACCACCCAACAAAATCATCATCACCAACAAAGATATCGCTTAGGCTGAGACTCACGAGGCAGGTTACAATGTAAAGCAGAGCGAATCCACCGAAACCAGGATGTCTTTTAAATAAATGCGTGGGTAGTTTAGTTTGTTAGGTTAATGAAATGCGTTTAAATAGTATCTTTATATATTAAACTAGTTAAACAATAGAACAGTTCCTTTGTAGTCTAGGTGGTTAGGATACTCGACTATCACCTGATTGACCCGTGTCAATTCCCGGCAACGGAATTATAAGTTTTAATTTTTCATTTTCTGTTTCATTTTATATTTATTTACCAAAGATTGCATGAATACACCTTTCTGGAAGTTGTACGTACAACACATCTTTTTCCTGATAACAATAAAGAAAGCGTAGTACATACCACGTGATTACTAAATTCAGAATCTGAACATCGGATAGAAATACACGTTTAGTATGCGAACTTCTAACTCTAAGCATATGACTCAAACATTTGAGATCTAGAAGTGTTCATGTAATGAAACAGTCATGCTCTTTTAATAATTCTCTGTACTATGGCCAGTAATAACATAAACAGCATGAACAAATTATACAACTACACAAGAATAAGAATAATGTCCAGGTTCATTTTTGGTGGTTTAATCAGCCAGGCTTTGAAAATTAATCAATCAATCCAAGATTCGATGCACGCATTCCCAAGTAATATGATTCTTCATTCCTACTGTTTATTAAATCAAGTGAACTTCCAGCTGTTAAATGTCTTTTAAGGTTATCGTGTTGGTTATGATCCTTCTGCTTCACCATTTGAATTCCTGAAACAACATAAACACAGTAATTTTAGAGCAATATAAGAATATCCAGATGCCATAAAAATGTAAATTCATCTAGTTCATAGTTGGTTTGGACTTTTACTTTGACAATTGCCTGGAGTCGAGCTGCATTGTCACTGGACCATCGTTAACCAAGTTGACCTTCAATTCAGGTGTAAAAAGTAAAATTAGGGAAAAAAAGAGAGGTAGAGAGGATAAAATATACGAATTTGAGGTGTTGTCTAAAATTCTTCCCACTAATGAAGCGTACAAGTGAAAAGAAAACTAAAAGGCACAAAAGTTGCGAAGTCTCACTTTCATCATTGCTCCAAACACACCATCTGCACAGAAACATCAATTAGAGTTAAGTATTCACGCATGAGAATATGATCTTATGACATGTATTTGGCTTGGAGAAACTGCACCCCAGTGACCCAATTGATTTACCAACTCGTAAATAAGAAGCCACATTGTATATTAACTACTTGCAGTAGCTAATTTATTCAATAGGTGAACATAAGGCTTTGCTTGGTTAGGGGGTGATTGGATATGAATTCAACTGGTAAAAAATTAAGTTTTTTTTAACTATAGTTAAGTTTGAAAAAATGTGGTATGGTTAGTTGTTAGTGGATATATTAAAATAATATTTAAAGTAAAATAATTAAAATTGATTTGATGTAATAGTAGGAGAAAATGATTGGAAGTGATAGTTAGTTAAAATTATGTGAGTAGATGAATAGTGAATTAAAGTTGATGTAATGTGTAAGAATGATTGGTTGATATTATTTAATTATATTGATAATATTGGAGATAGTGAAGTTGAGTTATATTTGAGTTTTGATTGATTTTTTACTTCGCCCCTTGGTGACCGGAGGGTCATTTCAGGAGGAATTTTCAGAAAATAGTGTGCACTTGTAATTATGAAAAAAAAAAGAAAAAAAAATAAGTTTTGGTTGATATTATTTAATTACATTGATAATATTGGAGATAGTGAAGTTGAGTTAAAGTTGAGTTAAATTTGAATTTTGATTGATTTTTTACTTTGCCCCCTTA